ACCCACGAAAGCTTATACTCCCAATACTTCTGTTAGTCTCAAAGATGCCACAGGACCCTCTGTTGCTTTTTACAGATTCAGACTAACACGGCTACCCCTCTGATACTTGCGTTCCAGGTAAGTAGCCTTCATTTGGGTGGTGAAGATTCCAGGAGTCAGGTGCATGGAGTTCAATTCCCTACTCTGCCAGTCTTCCTGATTGTGGCGGAGCAAGTTGCTTAGGCCTCAGCCTAGACACAGAAATTGTATTGGTGCACTCAAAGCAGTACAACTGATGTAGTTATTCTGTAGGAGGAAACAATCACCTGCAGTATAGAGCACCTTTATATGAGTTATAAGTGGGCAGAGTAACTGTGCGATCAACTCAATAAAAAACTCCTCTCCTTGATGAGCATGCGCAGCCTCCCAACCGGCGCAGATTGTGATTTTTTTTTTCCCCTTCGACTACTCCTCCCTGCAGCGGCGTTGCGCGCTCGGGGCCTGCGCAGCGGGACTCTGGCTTTCGTTTGCACCTCTGTATAACATGAGGCTCGTTTCCCAGGGGTGATGTGAGGGGAGGTTCATGAACGGTAGCGAAGCACCCAGCTAGCACAGGGAGGGTGGCATATGAGACAGGACTGCAGTGACCGGCTAAGGGCTTTTAAGTGGCTCTACGCCGTCCCCAGGCATCCAGCGGCTCCCTCGGGTTGTGCGACGTCTCCCTTTCCTCCTCCCACCGAGGTGCGCGCAGCTGCCGAGGCGCTGGGAGGCGGCGGGGATTTTACCAACCCGCCCAGGGTGCAGAGCGGGGCAGTCCCTGAGGCAGGGTTAACAATAAGGCCAGGGCTCACAGGGACTCTGCGCTCAGACCCCCAGCGTCTCCCGCACTCGCGGCCTCAGGAGCCGTAGGTGTGGGGCGGCCGGGGACCCGCCCCTAAAGGAGCTAATGGTGCTGGGCAGGGCGATGTAACTGCTTTGGGACCCGTTCGGGCGCTCCCCACCCGCGAAGGCGCAGGGGTGAGCCCGCAGCCGCTGCCTCTGTAGCCGCGCCGGCCCGCTCAGCCCGGCGGAAAGGCGCCATTTTCTCCTCACAGAGCCACCCGCGTCTGTACCGGGGTGATCTGAGGTCAGGGAGCCCGGGTCCCGCCGCGCAGCCTGCGAGCGCGTACGTAGCTGCTCTCCGCGCCGCAGCTGGGAGGCACTACTGGAAAGGAAGCACAAGCCGCGGTGGGAGGCTGCGCATGTCCCTTAGCGGCCAAGGCAAATCACGGGCTCAGCCGCGGCTGCCTGGCGCACGCGCACTGGCGCGGGGCTTAGCCAGTCTGGTAGCTGCTGTTGCCGGTAGGCTCTGGCGGCGCATGCGCAGTGCTGGCGGTGAGGGAATCACAGGCCTGGCTGCTGCTGGAGGAGGATCTGGGCTGTCGGTGGGTTTGGGACTAAGCGCAGGAAGCGACTTCGCACACTGCGAGGAGCCCCGGGTGGCCAGGCGGCGTGGGGAGCCGGGTAAGGTGCGCGCTGCAAGGACAGGCGGGGCGGCTGTGGCCGGGCGGGGTCCCCCAGATCCCGGGCGGGGGATTGGGGAGCCATTAAAGTTCGACAGTCCTGGCGGGGCTCCCGTCTCCAGGGCAGCGGCGGGGGGTGGGCAGGGCAGGGGCTGCCCTTGGGGCCGGGCCGGGGCTGGGGCTGCGGCTCCCGGCGGGGCAGGGCAGGGGCTGTTTCATAAGGGACCCGCTAGGCCTTGTGACCCACTTTACTCCTGTCACAACTCCCAGCACGTTTGGAGCCCTGCCCGGCTGGCCCGGCGCCCGGCCGGGCTGCGCCTGCTCTCGCCGCCCCTAGGGCGGGGGTGGGACCCTCAGAGCCGCCAGCTCCCCACCTGCCCGGGGCGCGGGTTGGAACTGGCGCTGCGGCGGGGACCCTGTTTGTTTTCTTTCTCGCGCCTGGAGCCGTAGGCGGCGTCTCGTCCGGTCTGTGCAGCCGGGAGCGGCGCTCCCCGCCCGCACTGCCCCCGCTGTCAGAGGGGCTCTCCCGGCTGCCCGAGCTGGTTATGTACCGCCTGGTCTGCGCCTCGCGGTTATTCTGCCGGCTCGGAGCCGAGCGTGTCCGCCGCAGCCATAGCGCCAGGAGCGGTCCTGTCTGCGGTACGGGGTGGGCAGTACAACCAGGCGGCGGGCTGCTGGCGGGGTGCTACCCCGTGGCCTGTTGTTGGCAGCGCGGGGTGTTCTTAGTGTCACTGTTAAATTGCAATGAAATTCAGTGGCGTGAGAAGTTACAGGACAACTGACGTTTGCAACTCGTCAATCCAGTCCTGGAAACCAATAGTCCTGCTGACCTGCGGGAAGGTTTATAAACTTTAGACACGTCCCTTTCATGGGGCCCCAAGGCTTCCACTTGCCTGGATCAGCTTGCAGGATCTATCTCTAAATCCCAAAATGATTCACATCATTAGTAATTATAATAGTTAATGCTTGTACAGCGATTTCAGTATAGAAATAGTTGCTTAAATCCTGTTATAGAAAAGAGACTGAAGTTAAGGGTACAGTTAAAAATTTGTTGCATGAATACATTTTACTTTTGTTTTTCTGTTTTTCTGTAACACTTTTTCAGCATGGTGTCTAAGCAGTGTTTATTAATAACACCTTAAATTATTAAAAGTGAAGATTTTACAAATATATTCCCCAGTCCTGTTGTCACTTATGTACATGCTTAACTTCAAGCATGGAAGTAGCCTATCTGATTTTAGTAGAATGGCATGCATACATACAATTAAGCATGTGCATTGTAGGATTGGGATCCTAATTTACTTGGCATTCTTTTTGTGTTTCTCTCAACCTGGAAATTGAAACTCAGGGAAGTTTATAGTCAGTTTAATTTTCAGGTTCTCATTGTTCCCTTATTGGAGTTTTAAAAACAGTAATGAGAATGTTTGTTTAAAAGCTATTTTGATTGGAGGTTTTTGTTTAATAGCTGAAACATTTTGTTTTTCTGAGGTCTCTTAGCATTATGGAGATTCCAAGAAAAATAACCTGTGTGTCTCAAATATATTTATTTTTGTAATACCAGGTGTCCTTGTTAAAGTGTGACTATTGTGCATCTTGGAGTTGGTCTTAAACTGTTGAGAAACTTGTTGAAAGAGAAACAATCACGCACCCTAGTAGTGCAATATTTTCCTGAAAAAAATACTTTGCATTATTACAGAATAGCATGAACAAAAAATTTAATTTTCAGGCTTAAAATTTTAACAGCCAGGCTCAAATATTATACAGCTGCTTCTCACTTACTGCTTGTTTCAATTTCTTTACATCTTCACATAAAGAAGGATGAATGTTTTCTTTGAACTCTTTCATTTTATGCGTATTTGTGTTTTACTTTTTGTAAATTGTTTTGTTTACATTTTTAGGACTACTTAAATTAGCCACCAGAAGGAGTTTAACATATAATTTAAGATTGTCAAAGAGTGGTTATTTGGCCATGTAGTTGTAGGCTGATCTCCCTGTGAAGTCCCTCATTGAGGTCAGTGGGGCTTCATACCAGGGTCCACCTGTGAATGACAAGTTACAGGTAGAACTAAATGGGAGGGAGGTTCCTTTGCTAATGGCGATTACTGTAGTTATAATGATTGAGGCCCCAGGGGCTGTGAGGATCTTCAAGTTTCTTCTGATCTGGCTGCCCTCTCTAAATGTCGAGTGTTTATTTTTGGATTGTTTAAACAGATTCTTCTTCTTGATTGTATGGCACTAATATATATTTTTCTCTCCACGATCTTTTCCATTTTGTTTTTTCACATATTTAAGTCCCCTTTTTGCCCCCTCCTGTTACCTCCCATGCTGGAAATTTCCTTCCCATTCCTTTAGAATATGTACTGGGAAGCAACACTCTGCCCCTGGGTTATATAACTTTTGCTGCTTTGATATTCTAGAACTGTATGTGGCTCAGGAAAATTTGCAACTTCTCATTTATTCGCAAAGTGACTTTATATTTCATCTGGTATATTTTAACAAGGATGGTTCTGATAATTAAATATGTCTCCTGCAATATAAAGGGTTTTAATAATACAAAGAAAAAAGTATACTCAGTGCTTTAAAAAAAAAAAAGTTGACATTGCCATGTTCCAGGAAACACCTTTGACAGAATTTGAAGCTTAGAGATTAGAGATTGCATATGCCTCTCAATTTCTAGTTGCTTTAATTCTTAAGCGAGGGGCATTGGTATACTAATACATAAAATGTTGAATTTTAATATTCTGAGCACAGCATCTGACATTGAGGGCAGATTTACTATCCTCAAGGCTGAAATTGACAATTCTAAAATCGTTTGCCAATAGGTACTAGGCAACCTGGGATGACCCAGTTTTGTCGTAATTTTTTTATGAGTATAAATTACATGGGCCACCATCCTGTTATAGCTGGAGCCTTTAACAAAACTCTAGACCAGCCGTTGATAAATCTTCTCCCTCTCCATATAAAAACATGAATACTCATGTATTTCATATATACATAGAAGATTTAGGCTTAAAAAAATGTGTGGAGATTGGGTAATGTTATGACCAGGGTCTATATCTTTCTTCTGCAGCTCATTCAATGTATTCAAGATTGGACTGTTGCTTAGTGTCACAAAACTTGATCAATTCTGTCACTGATTATGCCATTGGTACTATTGTTATATCTGACCATGCTCCTATATATATATATATATATATATATATATGTCTTTTAGGCCCCCAGGGTATGCACCCCTGACTAAAATGTGAAGATTAAATACCTCTCTGCTGTTTGATACATCATTTGTTAACTCTGTCCAGCAAGAGTTGGAACTTTTCTTTAAAACAAATGCCTCCATCACTTCATCAGTCGTCACACTTTGGGAAGCCTTTAAAACCTTCATCAAAGGCCATATAATCTTTTATACCACATTTTAAAAGAAACACAGAGAACATAGAATTGATACCCTTGTGAAGGAAATTAAGGCCTTGGATGTAGACTGTGCTTTTAATTCCTCCCCAGAGAAACTCTGAATTCTCATCCATTTAAAATATGAAATCAATAAGCTTCTGTCTCAAAAGGCTGAGTTTGCTTTATTCTTTTTGAAACAAAACTACTGGGAATCTGGCGAGAGAGACAGCCTCAAGCAAAAGGCTAACAGAAATAAGATTGCTACTATCGCAAATAGCAGCAATAAATTATATACAACAGTCAGATATTAATAAACAGTTTCAACAATTTTATTCAAAACTATATTTAGCTGAAGAGGGAATCACTAAAGATGCCCTAGATAACTTTTTTAGTGGATTGTCTCTGCCACAAATCTCTGACTCTGATGGAACTTTTAGATGCCCGTTTAGAAATCACACAACTGACTCAGGGTATAAAAATATGATGGTCAGAAAGACTCCTGGTACAGATGGGTTCCCAGCTGAATTTACAAAAAGTTCTCTGAAACTTTAACACCTAGGTTACTGAATATGTCCAATGAGACCAAGAATGAGCAAACTCTTCTGCCTACTCTATGAGAAGCTGTAATTTCAGTTGTTCCTAAACCTGGGACAGACCTTGAACTATGTAGTAATTACAAGACAATTTTTTAAAGCAATTGTGATGCTAAGATTTTAGCTAAAGCTCTTGCTATGTGATTGGACAAAGTTCTCTCTCACATTCTACACACAAATCCGGTAGGCTTTCTTCATAATAGACATGGCTCAGATAACTTGTGTCAACTGATATTATTGCCACTTCGAAAAATTCTAAAGAACTCTTAGCTGTCATTTCTTTAGATGCTGTAAAGGTCTTAGTCCCAGGCTATGCGGGCAATTTTTTTGTGTGTTAACAAAATTTGGATTTGGTAAACAATATATTGCTTGGATTAAGCTCTTATACTTTAACCTGACTTCCAGGGTGGTTATCAATGGTATTATTTACACCCCATTTTCATTACAGAGAGATAAGAGACAGGGCTGCCTGCTTTCTCCTCTTCTGTTTGATTTAGCTCTAGAACCTTTAGCCTTTGCCAAATGAACAAATAAACATTCATACTATCATGGTGGCCCAAACGGAGAATAAAATTGTGTTCTATGCAGATGATTTTATATTTGTATATGTGTTCCAGGTTACCATTCCTAACCTTCTAACTACTGGTAATAAGTTTGGACACCTCTCAGGATATAAAATTAATTGGGATAAATCAGAAATCTTAGACATTAACAATATACCCACAAAGGCCTGTTCTCAAATTGGGACTTTCAGTGGCAATCCTCTTATCTGAAATATTTAGGAATACTGATTCACAAAAATATTCAGGTTTCAGGGCATCCCTAAGATAAATATAGAATCAATTGTTGCCCAAGTGGCTAACCATTTGGGGAGATGGAGTTTAATGCTCAATTTGTCAGGTAAAATTAATATACTGTTCTTCCCAGAATTTTTTATGTCCTGAGCAGTCTGTCTATTTCTATTCCTCAAATTCATTTTAAGAAAGTCAATAATATTTTCTCAGGATTTCTTTGGGTA